AAAAACGTACAACGTAGTTCTTACGGCATTTCCGAATCATGTTTTTATGAGAAAAGTAAGAATGTAATTTACCAAAGCACTGTCATAGTAGGTTTCACTGTAAAAAAAAAAAAAAAAAAAGGCAATCCTATCCAGATGTAAACAGCTGGGTAGTCTCAAAAATGTTTTAAATATCATGGCTATTTTGATCGATAGAGGTCGCCAGTTACTCTTACAACTAAGGCTCTTCAGTGAGACTCACTTCATTGGTTGATTCTGGCACTTGGTCCATCATGTGGAGAGACATTTAGGACAAGAAAAAAATAAGAACGTCTGAGAAGACAAAAAGGAGAAATCTAGTTTAAAAGTATATGCCTTGGTATTCATAGTGGTTTCATGCATTTTGAAAACATTTTTTTGTGCAATTTCTTTTAAAATATCACATACATTTTTTCAAATATACAATATTAATTAATATCAATACGTTTTTCTTAAAGTTGCTGTATTTCACCTGAACAAAACATGATATAGGTAAATGCTAGTATTATTAATACCTGCTTAACATACAGGAGAGTAGGCTATTCAATTTATGCATGAGAATTTATATGACATTTGTCTTCTATGCATGTACAGTGGGTACGGAAAGTATTCAGACCCCCTTCAATTTTTCACTCTTTGTTATCTATGTAACAGGTTGAGATGGACGTGTCTGGCCACAGTCTGTTCCTTCTGCAGCAGCTGAACGTCCAAAGGGAGTTTGGCTTTCTGTGTGACTGCACTGTTGCCATTGGTAACGTATACTTCAAGGCTCATCGTGCAGTCCTTGCTGCCTTCTCAAACTACTTCAAAATGATCTTCATCCACCAGTCCAGGTTAGTGAATGTTTCTTGAAGTGTACCAACATAATGGTACTGAACTGAAGGGTCACCTATCATGCTTATATACTCTGATAATCAAACAAGCATGGGGAGGAAGTCAAGATAGCTTGATTGATAAATATTAAAAGTTCCATATTAATAATAATGCCAAATATAGAAAGAAATGACTGTTCTTAACCATACTTTGCATGATTAATAAATTGCTGATTGTATTTTTGATGACTTTCCTGCTTTTTCAGTGAGTGCATCAAGATCCAGCCCACAGATATTCAACCAGATGTCTTCAGCTACCTGTTACACATCATGTACACAGGCATGGGTCCCAAACAACCTGTAGACCAGGGCAGACTTCAAGAAGGTATCAAGTTCCTCCATGCGTACCAGCTCTGCTGCAAAACAGGTGAGGGTGGCCCCGATGCATCCTCTGAGCCCATCCGTATGTCCAACCTGTATGGCATCCAGATCTCTTCACAGTTGGCCAGTAAAGAGAACTCGGGCCTGAAGGCTGGTGGTTCACGGGACCCTGAGGATGGCCGCTCCAGCACTAGGGCCGATCGCACACATGGCCGTTTAGCTCTCGCTGTAGGGCTAGAGGGCATTACGTCTGAGCGACAGCCTCAAAGCTTCCACGCTGCATCCTCAGTGGCCTCGGGGGACGACTCCGACATTTTGGCACGGATCAAACAGGAAAGGGTAGAGGAGGAAGAACAACAGGAAGGCGACAAAGAGCCTTGCTCTCTCTCCCCAGCTCAGGTGAGCCCCTGTCAAGTGGGTCTATTCAACGATGGCCCTCTAGCGCTTTTATGCCCCCGGTGCGGTGAACGCTGTCTGTCACCTAAAGGCCTACAAGAGCACCTATTTACCCATGCAGCCTGTGCCCTCGAGCCTAGTGGTCTGATGGAAGGCCCTTCAGAGGACAAAACCGGGGAGCACAAGTCCCTAGAGGAGAGGCGGCCTCACAATGAGCGCATAGACTCTGGCAGTCTGGAGGAGGCCTTACGGCAGAGTCAGGCCCTGGCAGATGAGCTGGCCGTGGAACTCAGGCGAGGTAGTGGGACTGGACGGAGCGGCAGCCCGTTGGCAGCCTTCACGCGAAAACGAAAGATGGCCTGTGCCGTCTGTAACCTTCGCTTCTCGCAGAAGAGCCAGCTGCAGGAGCACATGTTCGCACATGTGGGCAAGCCGCTGCGATACCATCGCTACAGCCGCTTCTGCGGGCAGCTGCTCCATGGCTGTGAGGGCCAGCCAGATATTACCACAGCCACAGGAGAGGAGGCAGCCAAGGACACTCAGGATAACGGCAGCTCCTGCTACTCACTGGACTCTGAGGTCTCTCAGGAGAGCGTGGACGCAGTGACTGTGTAATGACGTAGTGTTTGACATAATTATATTCATGCAAACACACAATGTCTGTTAAAGGAATATTCTGGATTTAGTACAAGTTAAGCTCAGTCAACAGCATTTGTTGATTACAACAAAAATTCATTTCCACATGTCCCTCCTTTTCTTTAAAAAAAAAGAGCAAAAATCTGTTACAGTGAGGCATTTACAGTAGAAGTGAATGGGGCCAATCCATAAACATTAAAATACTCACTGTTTCAATAAGACATAAACAAAATACGTTAACATGATTTTAATTTCTGTGTAAAGTTGTATCTAATTTTACAACTTCCATGACAACATAAAGCCCAAAGTATACTTCGGTTTTTACACATATACGCTGAAGTATATGTACAGTGCTTGTGACATAATACATAATTTTTAACAGAATAATGTATGTGTTTTTATAAAATTTTAAGTCATGTTTCTGCTTTTAATTCTCCAAAATTTGTCCCCATTCACTTACATTCCAGTGTGCCTCATCATAACCTGTTTTTGCTTTTTTAACAAAACGGGACAAGTCAAAATTGCTTTGTGTAAATCAACATTATTCTTCAAATGATGTTGATTGAGTTGAACTTTTATTAAACCCAGAATTTTCCTTTAACAAATTTTGTTTTCTGCCTCAGCATTTCTGTCCTGTCACAAAAGTCCTTGTCAGTGTTAAAACATACAATAATTTTGTTTAAAACTTAGTGTTGATGATTGTAGTGTTGTTGTATAATGATGTTGCTGACTCTTGGGATGACTGAACACTGTTGGATCAATTATATATTGAAAGGAAGTATTAGGTTGACAAGCACATGCGTGTGAAATTCAAATAGCACTATTAAGTGTCACATTTAACCACAATCAAAATATTTATTTTCAGAGGCCTGCTTAAGCTAATAATGTAATTGTTTTTGTTTATTTTGGGGCTGTGGCCTAATGAGTGAAACTGACTGAGCGTAGATTCTAAACGATTTCTTCCCTAAATCGAATTTCCTATCCAAAACTGGTTCAGTGCCTTAGAATATTTTTGCCAAACATCTCTGTAGATGAAGCACTTAAAAGAAAAGCACTTAAACTATTGCTCAGCCAGTTGAACCAAATCCAGCTGTTTTTAATTTTTCAAGTTAACAGTGAACAGTGCCTATTTGTGTAAAGTTATCCAAGACATCTACACAATTAGAATAATCTATCAAATGAATGTGTGCTTTTCTAAAAGCTTTTTGATATGTTGAAAGACTTTCACAAACACAGAGTATAATCCAAGTTTGCTAACAGTCTTACTACATAAACCGAGACATAACTACAAAGATGGGACAATGCCACTGTAAATGTCTAATATAACACTTCTTGACAAACACAGCAATGGCACATTCAGTCATGTTTCAAAAGCAGAAAGGTCATTTTCAAAAGCTGAGACATGACAAAATGTTTTATTTAGAATGATTTATCAATTTCAAGACATCACTGATGGTAAACATGGTTTCTTTGTGCTGTATTTGAACTGTCAAAGCACCAATTTTTGCAGTTATATTGAATAATTGAGGCTGGTGTACTGTGATGAGTATATTAAATCAGCAAAACTTGCATTTGTGTTATTTGTGTGACTTGTGTAGTGCATTTAAACAGTCCCTTTCGATTTTATTCATCATCAGCACTGAGTGCCACTGTGAGATAATGTGTTTGGGTATTTTTTTAAATAAACGGCACATTGAATAAACTGTGTTTTATAATGCTTCTGCTTTGGTCACTTGTCATTGGTTTCATTGGCACTGACTGGGGATTGTTCACCCCAAATGAAAATTCTGTCATTTACTCACCCTCACGTCATTCCAAACCTGCTGTATGATTTTATACAGCTTAGAAAGCAAAACATGATATTTTGAACAATTTTTCATTTTTTTGGTCTATACAATGAAAACCAGTGGCGTTCATTGTTGTTTTGGTCCGCATTGACTTTCATTGTATGGACAATAACATTCTTCAAATTATCCTCTTTTGTGTTTTGCAGAAGGAATAAAGTCATACAGGTTTGTAATAACATGGGTGTGAGTAAATGATGACACAATTTACGTTTTGGCTAAACTATCCTAACTGGCAACTGTTAACTGACCGTCTTGTAGTAACATCTTATTGCCACAAGAGAGTAGCATGTAGGCACAAAAGCAAACATGATCTCTGCTGCCAACTCTGTGTAATCATTATCTTTAAGCATTACTCCCAAGCTTGTTATGTACAGTATACAGTCACTTAACATAACATCTAACAATGTCACTGTAGACTTCAGTCAGGACCTCATTTAAATAGGTTACGAAAAGAACATCCAATGCGCACACCTGGGTTCTCAGACCACTTATTTTCATAAAAACGTTGCCCTAAATGTTGACGGAAGTGTTTCACACAACATATCATGAGCGTGTGGCTCAGTGCCTTCTCAGAGTCATGTGTGGGATATTCATGGCTATAGAAACTAGACTGCAGTGACATGCGAAATAATATTGCAGTATAAAAAATATGAATAATAGAAAGTAAAATTAATGAAAATACGAGGTTAATCATGCAAGTACAAATTTACAGCATTAAAATTACATAAAATTACAAACTTTCCCACAATCTGACATCAATAATTACAATTATCATTACAAACATTCCCAATGTTTATACAGACTGAAATGTCATCTGACATTTAATCACATGAAATTCCTCTTCTCTTTTTTTCATGTTATACACAGCTTTATTTATACCATCTTACAGAAATATGAACACATTTGCTGAATAAAGAATATGAATGTGTTTACACATGGTCCAAACTTATCTGATTATGCTGCTGCTCGATTGTGAGTTGCTCCACAGCACCACGAATGGCTGCTTGCACCATAGAAACTGCCGTCTGAATCAGTAAGGGCTCATTACACCGGCTGTGGTCCAGTTCAGGAGACGCATTTACGTCAGAAGGATGTAGTGTGTTGTTTGTTAGGCTGTTTATTCTTAAATGTTGCCAGGACCCATTCATGGTAAGACCATCAAAATATGGTGCCTCATTCATGTTCTCTTCCTCTGATGAGTATGCATGTTCTATAGTAATCACTGGCCTGCATTTGACACAAGTTTTAATAGGCTTCTCAATTAAGACTAGCAGATCACCAATTGATGATGTGCCTGGAAACTCAGAGTCGAAATTACAGCCACTGCAACACAGTGGAGGAACCTCAGAATCCAAAACACTAGATTTTAACACCTGCTTTTCTTCTTCATTCAAACTAACATCTTGGTCAGGATGTATTTCCTTCACATCCATGTGGTCAGCATCAATGTTTCTGTTAACGCTCACTTCTGCACTGAATGTAAATGTCTCTGGAACACTTTCCGCTTTTATGTCTTGTTCTTCCGTTTGGTTCTCTTCTTTCGTGATACTGGAAATGTCCAAAGCAGCCGCAGGTGATTGATCGGCTACTTCTATTTGTGATGCACTGGAAGCATTACACTCAAACTGATCAATAGTTGGTGCTTTCTTCCTTCTTGGAAAGATGTGGTAGATCTTTTTAAATGTCAAACCTTTTGGTGCCGTTATCTCCTGAAAAACCATGCTATTGTCTTGCTCTCTACATCCCCTTCCTAGAATGACATTAGATGTGGTCTCTTGGATCTCTGATCTCTTAGAAAGGGGCCACACTGAGAAGAAAGCCCTAGTTTTACTTTTCCCATTGGGAACTTCCTTGTTTGCATCCTTGGAGTTACACATATTGTGTTGAGTTTTGTTTCTGTTTTTCAAAGGATTCAAAGTCTCGTTTTCTGTTCTATCCGATTCCTTCCTCTTTCCACACCTGAGGAGTGAGGAAAATGCCCTTTTAATTGATGTTTTTGAAGTGCTTCTGGTTATTTTTGCTTTACTTTCCATATTTTCATTTTTGCTTTCACTCTGCTCCAGTGGTACAAGAATTCCTGAGGCATCTCCTGGAGCACCTGGCTGGGTTTCCTTCTCCTCTGAGGGTTTTTGAGGGCTGTGGTGGGTAATAAATGAGGATTCATTTCCATCATTTTCTTGATAATTATTCTCTGCTGTGCCATCACAACTTTTAGCTTGTCTTTGCCTTCTCTGAGATTTACCTTCAAGTTTCTCCCTTGATTTTGACTTCCCCAGCAAAAGTCTCGGGGGACCGGTCAGTTTTCTCTTCAAACCCACCCTCTCCTGACTGTCGGGTAATTCTGTCTCTTGTGTAGACATGGTTAATCAAACAGTACCAAAGTCAATAATAGTCCACACTGGCAATACTGGATCAATTACACAAGCGGGTGTTTTCTCCGCTTACATACTGTTGGCTTAAAGATGTGGTGATGCTGCAAACCAACACAAAACATTGTCTTGGTGAAGTTAAAGGTTTTCTGCATTTCACTTGTTGGTTGAAACATATTTATAACCTGATTTGTCTTCAATAATGAGCTTTTTGATATATTATTCATTTGAAATGTTCATCTTTGAGTAGCCTATATTTTGAGTACTCAGACGACACACGAGCTGTGCAATGTGTACAGCACAAACAACATGAACTCATACTGGGTGTGACACCAGCGAAAAGTCTCTTTAAAAACATCCTTTATATAAAGAATTCAGTAGGCGTTTTGCTAACAGGTGCTAACAGTAAAAGTGAACTAAAAATACGATTAAGGGCAAATAATAACTTTTATTTCCCAACACTTTTTTTTTTTTTTTTAATGATAGGCTACAGGAATAAATATATCTCAGTATAACGTCAAAACTCGAAGACTATTACGATAACAACATATTTTGTTTGTGACGTTTGTAAATCTGTGACGAATGTAAACGGTCATTACTTTTACATCTTAATCTTTATGATGATAAAATATAACTCAGAACAGCAGGTTAGCTTTGATTTAGATTAAAAAGTCCTACAACATCGTACTAATTAATGATAAGTTAAAACACCTACCTGTAAAGTGGAGAGCACGACGTAAACTATATTCACGGTTGTCTAGGGCGATGAGATTTAAAGAGCGTTTATAAATCCCCGCAGATCTGCCGCGCTCAGAGACTTGAGCCAACACACACAGCACGTTACGCGCCTATTTGTTTCCATGACGACCAGCAGATTGACGGTTTATGTGAGCGTGCCGATCATCCATCCAATCAACACGGAGGAGGCTCTCCTAATGTGAAGATATTATTGATATCCATCACTGCGACCATACACACTCGCCATATACAATTTCCTAACAAAGTTATATTTTCTATGGAAGTTTTTTTCCCTAACAAAATTAAAATTAAAATTCAAATTCAAATGCCTAAAAGATCAAATAATAAATCAAACTCTCAAAACAACTGCTCAAATGAGAAACCAAATGCTCAAATGCAATTTCATTTCCTCATTCGTAGAAGCATGAACTGTATCAAAAATCAAATTAAAAATCATTTGTCTTTGATAGGCTATATATATTTCATTATCAACCCAGAATAAACCTGTCATAATTAAATCTATAATTCAGTGCTCAAATCATAAATCAAATGCTCAAACCGACATCACAAACGATACATCAAATGCTCAAATCATAAATCAAATACTCAAGCAGACATCTCAAATGACAGGCTACACACACAAACACACACACCCAGCAATTCTAAGTAAAAACATGACATGCTTAATTTTCCATGGACATACCGATCCCGTGATGATGGTAGAGCATAGATGACACTCCGTCAAACCTGAATCCATCAAATCTGTACTCCTCCATCCACCAGCGCAGGTTTGACAGGAGAAATCGCAACACCTCCCAGCTACACACACACACACACACACACACACAAACATAAAAGTTGTTTACACTTTGTTAAGATGATAATATTTTTTTAAATAAAAATAAAATATTTTAGTGATGGAGATCAACAGAGAGAGGCTACACTCTAAGAATAAAGTTTTTTTTTACTGGCACTGATGGTTCCACGAAGAACCTTTAACATCCATGTATCTTTCCATTCTACAAGGTTATTTGTAAAAAAAAAAGAAAAAGAAAAAGAAAAAGGTTGGTTATATTATTAAAATGTTCTTCACACTAAGAAAAAAAAAAGGTTATTTTAAGAACTGTTCACTGAAAGGTTCTTTATGGAACCAAAAATTTTTTTTTTTTGCATCACTGTGAAAACTTCCTTTTGGAACTTCTATTTTAAAGAGTGTAATTGTTATATAATGATTGAAAATCTAATCTGGCTTTAAATGAAATGTCTGCGATGAGCAGATGGCACACAGAAATTAATTCTCATTTGGAGGCTTGCTTGATGTTTGCAAAAGACATATGTGCAAATATGACCTGTTATTCCCAGGGTCTAATTTATATCTATGTCAGTAGCAGACATTTCCTTATGGATCTTTTAGTTGGACAGCCTTTTTATCATTCAGGCATGTTTTAAACTTCGTTCAGAAGAGGGATTGCCTCTTTCACTCAGGATATATATGACACAAGTCTTGACATCTCATGTATGAAATCTTATTTCAAGCTCAAAGGCACCAATGCTAATGTCCAGTGACGTGAGGTCCCAGAGGTCTGAGGAAAATATGCCATTGAAAGCCTCACCAGAAAAGCAAAAAACTTACAAAGTACTCAACAAAGCTACCACAAAAGTGTATTTAGGTCTGGCAGAGTTTACTCAGGTTCACTTGAATAGGTTGCCTCATACTGATAAACCTGGTGGCAATGTCCCAAACTAACCCCTTAATCAAACAGGCCAGATGCACACTCAGTATCCCACTTAGCAAATATGGCTCTATTTTCATGGTGACAGACCCATTCAACATTCATTTTACAAAGCACAATGTGCTAAAATATGATAACACCTTGTATTTTAGGATTTTCTGTAAGTATCTGGATACAAAGGTGTTTAACATGTCTATGTATGAATGTAATAACATTTTAAACCAAATTAAAATATAAAAAACAAGACGGGAATCATTTGTTAAAATAGGACCCCAAAACGTTGGGTTTCATTTTTGATTAGCTTGTATTCAATATCAGCACAGCAATATATGAAGCATTTTTAATGGTATACACACATGTTTTTTCCCCCCATAGAAACAAAATGGTTTCCTAGTCACACAGCATCAGATAACTGTAAGAGACACATTGACAGTGATCACTGACTACTGGACGGCAGCAATGGCTGCTGGGTAACGTACTGAAGAAGAGGCTAAAAATAAACTGGACTAACAAGCTGGACAAATATACAATTATCTAATTATAGACAACAATCAGGATGGCAGCTTAGTATCTATAGCAACTGGAAACTTCATTAAAGGCTAAGCCAAGATTTTATTTGAGTCAGATAAGATAGCATATAGAGTAAACATATAGACATAACGCGATCTCATAGAATCAATGTGTCATTATGTATAAAATCAAATGTGGCTTTCAATAATACTGGCAAACTTCAGCATAAACAAGCTTATAAGAAAAATACTGACAGACGATTGGTTCTAAAGCTCAGTCATGGCTAAAAAATATATCTTATGGATCAAGAAGCACAGCGTAATAACTGTGAGATCTGGAGTGAATTCCTAAAAAAGACATTGATAATTAGTTTTTACTGTACATAGGACGTTTTATAGCAAATAAAAAACAGCAGCTGTATAGTACTTGTAGTAAAACATGAAAATATTCTACATTTTTATCATATGGTGCTAAAATTTTGATGCCACGATTTGACTGAAGAAACTTTGTATAGGTTTTAAAAATCATTTAGCCATGATAAAAAGAAAACTGTTTCTTTCCAATTATTAAAAGTTTGATTGACCATTAATTAAACCACGTTCAGCTTGCCCATCTTAGCAAGTAACCATTGAGCTACTTGCTGTCACTGTGAAGGTTGTTGCCATGGAAACAGGGCCACATGGGATCATCCATTTCTGTATTTGTCTGTTGGAGAGTTTGAAGAAATTAGTCAATCTGGTGTTATCATGAAGGAGTTATTTCGCTGTCTTAATAATACAGCCCATTATGTTTTAGTTTTTTTTCCTGAGACAAAAAAAACAAAAGCTAACTCAAGTAATGAACAGAAAAAGAAAATTAATACAAACAGTCTGACAAACTAAACAAAACCATGCTGAGCCAAGTTAACCATAACTGCATATGGAAATAACTGCTACCCTGAAGAGCGGTTTAACAAACTGACTTACATTTGTAATCTGTAATGAACATAAATGTTGGATAAGGTCCCTTGGACCACCAGTGGATTTTGTTGAACAGCTCATGTTCAGCACAGGCATGCAGCCTAGCAACCTGTCTGGATAAAAATATCCACAACATGTGTGACCAAATATTCTCTCTTTCTTTTTTGCAATGTTGACTCACCCGATGAGCGACTGACTGAAGGGGACAGAAAAGGGAACTCTTAATGAAAACAACAATCACTTTACTATTATGTTTTTTCCTTCCTCAGGTATGGGGAGACGGTGTAATTCCATTGGAGTCAGTAAGATTTTTTAATATTTTTGAAAGAAGTCTCTTATGCTCACCAAATCTGCATTTACTTGCTCAAAAATACAGTAAAAGCAGTAATATTGTGAAATATGATTACAATTTAAATTGGCTGTTTGCTATTTTAATCCATTTTAAAATGCAGTTTATTCCAGTGATGGCAAAGCTGAATTTTCAGCATCATTACTCCAGTCTTCAGTGTCACATAATCCTTCAGCAATCATTCTAATATGCTGATTTGCTGCTCAAGAAACATTTCTTATTATTATCAATGTCTAAAACTGTTGTTGTGCTGCTTAATATTTTTGTGGAAGTTGTGATCATTTTTTCTCAGGATTGTTTACAGTTCAAAAGAACAGCATTTATTTAAAATTGATTTTTTTGCAACAGTATTAATGTCTTTAATGCATAATTCCTTGTTAAAACCATGCTGACCCCAAATTTAGAATGGTAGTATATCTAGCTGTAATATTATAGATACAGGAGTATAAAGCTCACCGATTCAGTCAGACAGCATAGGAAACCTGCTCCAACATTGGCCTTGATATCAGTTATGGGCAGCATGAAGTTGGTGGGCACTCCCTTCAGCATAGGGTCATTACTCAAGGACAGGTGTGTCTTAGCTATGCAAACCGGCAAATTCTCAAAGCCCTTTAAGAGAGGAAAAAACAAAGATGATAAGAGAAATAGGGATGTAACAATGCACCCCGGTTGAAAATCAAAACAAATATGCTTAAAAACTGCTCATGCTGCATGTATGTTGTTCGGATCGTGATTAAAATACAGTCGTTGCCTCTAATTTTAAATGGAAAGAGCACAGGTTTGTTTATATGAAGATATTTCTTTTATTTGTGTTATTTATTTGATTTGGGGTTATAAAATTTCAATTTAGTTCTGTTATTTGACATATTTGAATTTCACAAAGTATTATGCAGCATTTTGTCCAAGCAATAATAAAAAGACACTTTTTCATTTATAATTTGTCTTAAATCTCATTATGTAAAAAAAAATCGTGAGAAAATCGTATTGTGAAATCAATATCGTGAATTGTATCGCAGCGTTAGTTGAGTGAATCATTACATCCCTAAAAAAAGAAGTGGAATAAGAGAATGTTCCACTCCACCCGAGGCAGACAGGCATACATATAATGTTAAGCAGTCAAACTCATTTCTTCAGAATTGTACCACTCAAATTATCCACAATATGACATACAATGTGTTTTATTTAAAGCCTCTCAGTAACTTCCTCAGCTGCTTCCACTAATTAGTCCAACCCACATCAATTAACATTCAGTATTAGTATATAAACTGTATTTGATAAAGAATGTCTCCTTAATAAAGTACATTCTGTAAATAAGCAAATATCTGAGATAGCTATTTCTTAGCCTGCTGCGTAATATAAATCAAACAGCCTTATTGTGAAAAGGAAGCTTACCTGTTTTGTATAAAGTACAAGCTTTTCTATTGATTTTGGAGAGAGCGCGATATCTTTTGCACCATACATCTTTTGTGCCACAGTCCTTAACTTATCGGCAGCTGGAATCTG